TCCTCCCATCCCTAACCCAAGTGACCAATAACCTATTCTCTGTCTCTATAATTTTGTCATTTTGAGAAGTTATATAAATGGAGTCGTATAGTATGTAACCTTTTGATATTGGCTTTTTTCATTCAGCATAATTCCTTTGAGATAGATCCAAGTTGTTTTGTGTATCAATAGTTTGTTCTTTTTTATTGCTAAATAGAATTCTTTGCTATGGATGTACCACAGTTTGTTTAGCTATTCACTATTGAAGGAATTTGGGTTGTTTCCAGTTTTTGGCTATTGTAAATAAAGTTGGTATGAACATTTGTGTACAGGTTTTTGTGTGGACATAAATTTTCATTTCCATGGGACAAATGCCCAGGAGTGCAGTTGCTGACTATAGTTAATAATACTGTGTGGTATACCTAAATTTTGCAAGAGAGTAGATCTTAAATATTCTCACCATACAAAAAAATGGTGACTATGTGAGGTGATACGTTAATTACCTTGATTGTGGTAAGCATTTCACAATGTATTTGCATTTCAGAACATCACATTTTGTACACCTTAAATATATGCAATTTTTATTTGTCAATTATACCTGAATAAAGCTTGAATAAAAAGAATAATAAAGAACAAAGTTGGGGGACTCACTCTTCCTAATTTCAGAACTTATTACAAAGCTACAGTACCAAGTTAGTGTGGTACTGGCATAAGGACAAACACATAGATCAGTGGAATAGAATTCAGAGTCCAGAAATAAACCTCCACATTTATGGGCAAGTAACTGACAGAGCTGAAAAAAACTTAGAGAAAACACAGATGTAAATTTTTGTGACCTTGGATTAGGCAATGAATTCTTAGATATGACACCTCAAGCACAAGCAAAGAAAAAAATTGCTAAATTGGACTTCATCAAAATTAAAAACTTTGGTCATCAAAGGGCACTGTGAAGAAAGTGAAAAGACAACCCATAGAATGGGAAAACATATTTGCAAGGTATATATCTGATAAGTGTCCAGAATCTGGAATATATAAGGAACTCTTCGAACTTAACAATGTGAAGACAAATAACCCAAATTTAAAATGGGCAAAGGACTCAAACAGACATTACTCCAAAGAAGATATACAAATAGCCAATAAGCATATGAAAAGGTGCTCAACATTATTAGCTTTAGTCATGAGGGAAATGCAGATCAAAATCACAATGTGGTACCACTTCACACCCACTTGGATATCTGTAATAACAAAAATGGAAAATAAGAAGTGTTGGTGAGGATATGGAGAAATTGGAACCCTTGTACACTGCTGGTGGGAATGTGAAAGCGTGCAGTTGCTATGGAAAACAATTTGAAAGTTCTTCAAGAAGTTAAACAAATATAAAGTAGATTATTGGTTGCCGGGGGCTAAGAGGAGAAGGTAATAGGTAGTGGTTTCTATTGGATGGATAGTTTTATTTGGGAGTGATGAAAATGTTTTGGAATTGGATAATGGTGATAGTTGTACAACCTTATAAATATACTAAAAACCACTGAATTGTGCACTTTAAAATGGTGCATTTTATGGTATGTGAATTATATTTAATAATAATAATAAAGCCCTGTGAATGGGGCTTTTACAAGGAGCTGTCAGGCTGGTTAAATAGTGACAGTTCTATGGTGCTGGGGCTTTTTTGGCAGCTCCAAACCCATTCTGTCCCATCCAGTGGGCTGCTTGGCTGCAAAGCTAATGTGTTCCTAGTTATGTGGTTTTAAAGGCTATTGCAGAACTGGTGTAGGGGGATAAAACTGGGCAAGTTAAAGTGTGACAAAGCTTACTGTTCTTACTGATATTCTTTCTTGTGGAGCAGGGTGGGATGAAGGTGGTATATATTTTCATGGATTTACACACACTGGAAAAGCCTCTCTGCTCTTGCCGGTGCCCTCCTCTCTCCAGTATTCTTTTACTCAGTTTGTTTTCTTGAGTAAAAACTTCTTGGATGGTTGCAAGCCTTTGTTTAATTTCCAGAGTTCTGAAAAGTTGATTTTGACAATTTTTGCCACTGTTCTCGGTGTTTTAAATGGAGGAGTGGATTTTCAGTGGTCTTTACTCCCCCTTTCCAGAATTGATTCTCCTAAAGTTGATTGTTGTATTTTGATCTTGTATCCTGCATCTTTACTCAACTCACTTATTCTAGAATTTTTTTCTGTAGACTCCTTGGGACTTTCTATGTAGACTATCATGTCATCTATAGATAGGGACAGTTTATTTATTCCTTTCCAACCTTTTATTTTTCTAGTCTTATTGTACTGGCTAGGACTTTCAATACTATATTTAATAAGAGTGGTGAGGATGAATGTGATTTTTTTTTGATGTATTATAATGGAATGTGTCAACCTTTGGTATATCTGCATAACTCAGTGAACCAATATTTTCCAAATTACCAATTTATATTTTTTACAAAATCATGCATGGGCATAAGATCTATTCAAAGTGCAAGATAGGCCTACGGGTTTTAATGTAAACAGGGTATGAAAAGTTCGTTGGTATGGTTCAGAATTACATTGCAGCTAACCTTCATGAAACTACCAATTGCTGTGTTTTGGTGTTATATCAAAGAAGAATATCCACAATTATGGTCTGAAAAGACTATTTTCCAACTACATATATGTGTGATACTAGATTTTCTTCATATACTTCAACCCAAGCCATTTGCAATATGTATAATGCAGAAGCAGAAATGAGAATCCAGATGTTCTATAAAGCCAGACATTAAATAGATTTGCAAAGGTATAATACAATGGCACTCTTATCACTAAATATTTTTTTTATTTCTAGAAAATTTTGTTAGTTAAAAAATGTTATTATGTTAACGTATAATGTGTTTATTATTTTTAAGTGAATTAATAAGTATTTAAATTTTTTGTTTTAATTTCTAATATGGTAAATATTGATAGCTATAACTTAGATAAGTAAAATCTGAATTCTTAATGACTTTTTAAGAGTTATAGGGCTCCTGAGACCAAAATAATTTAGAGCCATTGGTATAGGATTGATCTACAGCTGTGATTCTCAAAGTGTGGTCCCTGGGCCAGCAGCATCAATATTACCTGGGAACCTGTAAGAAATGCAGATTTTTGGTGCCATCCCAGACCCAATAAATCAGAAATTCTGGGGATAGGGCCCAACAATCTGTATTCTTTTTTTTTTCCCTTTTTTTTGTCTTTTTTTGTGACCGGCAACGGATCGCAACCCTCAGTGTTGCATCTGTACCGGACCGGGACCGGCAACGGGATCGCAACCCTCGGTGTTGCACCCGCACCTTGCTCAGCCAGTGAGCGGCCGGTCTGTATGTGGGATCCGAACCCTCGGCGGGAGCGCCGCCGCACTCCCAAGCGGCGCACTGTAGCAGTGCGCCACCGGGCCAGCCCCCAACAATCTGTATTCTAACAAGACTTCAAGATGATTCTGTTGCATGCTAAAATATGAGAACAGTTAGTATAACACATTATGCAGAATGTTTGACAATGAGAAAAAGAAAAATTGGGTTGTAGTTCCTGAGAGTAGCATTACCTTCAAAGGAAGGTTATTTTCAAAGTAAAATATATATTAACTTATTATAGGTAGAATATAAAATGCTAGGGAGAAGAAGATTGGAGAAGTTAGAAAAAGAAGTGGTAGTGGTTAATTGCTGGGGTATAGACCATGAAGAGATGGAAATGAATCTGATAAAGTGCATATGTAGAGAGATAAACATTTATTTAGTGCCTGCTGTTATGAATCAATGCTCTGTGCAGTAGAAATAAAAAAAATCAATAACATTAATATGTGGTACCTTTCTTATAGGAACTTAAGTTTTGTGGGAGATACAGATGTGTAAATATATTACAAAAGGGTAATTGCTTTAAAAGAAATATGAATGAAGTTCCACAGTAAAATGAAAGATGAGTAGCTAACTATGCTGTGAAAATTAAGAAGATTGTGAATTTTTCTGGGAAGGAAAGGGACATAAAACATATTATAGAAGAGAATTAAATGTTGGATAAGGCACAACCTGAGGGTTGAGGGTTTTTTTTTTTTTTTTTCAAATTAAGGTGGAAGGTGAAGTAATTTTTGAGAGGGGTACTGTAGGAGGATATGGCATGTTACAGATGACCTGAAGAATATGACAAAGCATTTGACCATCATGGGGGAAATGTACTAAAGGAATCAACAAAGAAGGAAACTAACTTTTATTGAGCACCTACTACATGCTTGACATAGTACTGAGAGCTGCAACATTGTTGATTGCTGAGCTGCAGTGAGGGTCCAGTTGAAGTTAGCATAAATTTGTAGTTAATTTATTCAGTGTACGTTACTGTCTTTAGATTGATTGTGTTATCACTTAGTAACATTATGTTATGGTCAGTCTAGCATTTAATTCCTTATATAATAGCCACAATCCATTGTTGCTGAGCAGCAGTTCAGATTCAACCTTGGAACTTTCCTTCTCACTTATAATCAATTATGTTTCAATAAAAGAAAAGAAAAGAAAAAAAAAAAGAAGGGCAAACCTAAAGTTTCCTGATCTATTAATAGGCAAAACTAAGGTTTCCTGATCCAGTAATATAAGTTATAATACTTTATAGATCTGCTAGGATATGAGTTCAGAGAGTTTTCCTGTCTTCACCAGCAGTAAGTACCACATAGGAGTAAATAACCTCCTTTATTACAATTCTTGGCACTGGTGATAGTTTTGACTGCCAAATATGTTCACATGTTTGTATGCTGACTTACAGTTTATGAGGTAGAATACCAGTTTCTGCATTCCTAGAAAAAGTAAGTGACTCCTACTCATTCACTATCAACTCTGTTACCAAAGATTTTCACCACTTATTCCTCTGTATTTTGAGATGGCTGTTATGTTTAGCTTAACCAACTAGCATTGCTAGAAAGATTAGAAAACAAAATAAGACTCTTCAACACTAGCTAAAATATGCTAAAAATTGACTTAGAAACAAATACCTTATCATTTCTTTTTAACCAATTGATGTTCTTTCTCTCAGGCAATTGCTCAAGGGGATTTTCAAAGAGCATCTACATGTGCACTGCGTTGTAAAGATATGCTAATGAGGCTCCCCCAAATGGTGAGTGAAATCTCTGCATTTATTCTCCAGGTGTTTGAAAATATGCTGTCTTAGTCTGTTTTCTACTGCTATAGTAGAATACCACAGGCTGCGTAAATTATAAACAGTAGAAGTTTATTTACCTCATAGTTTTGGAGGCTGGGAAGTCCAAGATCAAGGGGCTGCATCTTGTGAGGGCTATCTTGCTGTGTTATAACATGGCAGAAGGACAGGTGAGCACGAATGAGACAGAGGAAATTGGACTCAACTGGCTTTTATAATAGTAACAATAACTAACCCACTCTCATGATAATGACACTAATCAATTCATGAGGGCAGAGCCCTCATGACCTAATCACCTCTTAATACTCCCACCTCTTAATACTGTTACAATGAAAATTAAATTTCCACATGAGTTTTGGAGGTGAACTTCAATCCATAGCATTCTACCCTTGGCCCCCCAAAACTCATGTCCTTCACACATAAAAAATACATTTATCCCATCTCAAGAGCCTCAAAAGTCTTAAATTGTTTTAGCATCAACTCAAAAGTTTAAAGTCTCGAGTGTCATCTATATCAGATATGGGTGAGACTCAAGCCACAACTTATCCCTGAGGAAAACTCCCTCTAACTGAGAGTCTGTGAAATCAAAACAAGTTATCTATTTTCAAAAAACAAGTTATCTATGCCTGGTGGGACAGGCATAGGATGGACATTCCCATTCCAAAAGGGAGAAAAAGGCAAGAAAGGAGGAGTACTTGGTACCCAGTAACTCCAAAACCCAACAGGGAAAACAACTTTAAGTTTTAAAGTTGGAGAATAATCTCCTTTGACTCTGTGTCCTGCAACCTGCACACACTGGAGAGGTTGGGCCCCTGTATTCATTCATTTCTGTTGCTTATAACAGAATACCCAAAACTGGGTAATTTATAAAGAAATGAAATTTATTTCTTCCAGCTTGGGGACTGGGAAGTTCAAGGTTCAGGAACACATCTGGTGAAGGCCTTCTACAGCAACTCTAGTTATCACATGGCGAGAATGGGCTGAGCAAGAGAGAAAGTTAACCTTCTCACTTGCTGTGCTTTTAAAACCATCAGAAACATGCCCATTACTCCGTGAATGGATCAATCCATTCACAAGCACATAGTCCTCACAATCTAATCATCTCTTATAGGCCCCACCTTTCAAATAATTGGGTTTTACAATTTCTTAACACTGTTATGCTGGAGATGAAGTTTCCAATACATAAACTTTTGGGGACACATTTGACCCGTAGCAGCCCCTAAAGCCTTGGGCATTGCTGCCCTTATGGCTTTGTTGGGCACAGTTCATGCTTTGGCTCTCTTAGGTTGGAGTTGTGTGCTGGTGACCCTACAGTTATGTGATCTTGGAGGCTGCCCCACTCCCGCTCCACTAGTCATTGCTCTAGTGGGAACTTTCCATGGCAGCTCTGACCCCATATTTCTGCTCAGCATTGCCATAGTGGAGGCTGTCTGTGGTGACTCTGCTCCCTTGGCTATCTGCAACATCCTTTGAAATTTAGGTGAAGGAAGCCATGCTCCCACAACTCTTGGCATCCTTTGAGCTGGAGAATTAACAACATGTGGACACTAGCAAGGTTTACATCTTATACCTAGGTTGAATTGCACCCAAGGCTGCTAAGCCATGGCTGGGGCAGCCAAGGAATGTGTCAGAATGCAGGAGTAGAGACCCGAAGTGGCCTGGGGCACTGAGCCTGTAGAGGGTGTCCGGGGCCCATCCCTTGAAACCATTCTGCTCTTCTGGAGCTCTGGGCCTGTGATGGGGGTGGGGGTATCCTTGAAGATCTCTGAAATGCCTTTGGGATTTTTCTCCCATTGTCTTAATGAATAGAATCTGGCTCCCTTCTATCCATGGTTATCTCTTCAGCAAATGGTCACTTGGCCACAACCTTGGTATTTTCCCCAGTATGCAGTTTTTCATTCTTTACATGGCCAGGCTGTGACTTTTCTAAATCTTTCTGTTCTGTTTCCCTTTTAATTATAAACTCTCTCTCTCTTTCTTTTTTTTCTTTTGGCAGCTGGCTGGTACAGGGATAGAACCCTGGACCTTGGTGTTTTCAGCACCATGCTCTAACCAACTTTTCAAAATGACCACCCTAAATTCTGGCTTTAACTTACTTCTTTGCTCTCACATCTCACTCTTTGTGGTTAAAAGTAACCATGCAGGTACCTGAATGCTTTGATGCTTAGATATTTCTTTCGTCAGATATCCTAGTTCATTTCTCTTAAGTTCTGCATTCCATAAAGCCCTCAGACAGGGACACCTAAAGGTCCCAGCTCTTAATATTGTTACAATGGTCATTTAATTTTAACATGAGTTTTGGAAACCACATTCAAACCATAGCATGTGCTATATCAAGTTTCAGGAAGAATCATTGCTACTTCATGCAACCTTTTGGAGATTATATTTGAGATCAGTTCTGCTTACTTAGCTAATCTTTGAAATATTTTGCTTCCTTTATTCTTTACTAGAGAGAGCATTTGAAAAAGTGATGTGGGTTATTTCTTAAAATGTACTTGCTTTTCCTTTTATTTTACCATTTTGATAGTATTTTCTCCATATTTCATGTTACACAATGAAAGAAAGAAAAATTGAATTTATTTCCCTACTGACAGTATTGATAGCAGTTAATCATGTTACTGACTCAGTACAAGGGGTCTTCAAAATGTTCATGAAAAGATTTGTATTATCTTTTAATTCTGTTTTTTCATGAACTTTTTGAAGTACCCTTGTATTCTTGTATATTGGGATTTGGAGGTATAAGAAATTTGATAGGGTAAGGCCTGCTTCCTGGATTGGATCTCATCAAAATTCCTAAATTTATAGTTTTTTGCTTTTCCACTTTATCTCCCTTTTCTATTCTTTCTCCCCTATTTGAGTGACTATTTCTACTTCAGTCTTTACTATCACAGAGGGGATTAAGAACAGAGATATAGTTGGATTTTAGGGAGAATGTTTCCAGGGTTCCATAAATTGCACCTGCTTGTGAGAGTGGTCTTACTTTTTTTTTTACGAATTCTGTTATAATGTAGAACTTAATTCAGTAAATATTTATATATTGTCTATTATGTGCCAAGCACTCTTCTAGGCTTCAAAATTTTAAAAACAAATTCATATTTACAGAAAGTTACAAGAATAGTACAATGAATTCCTGTATATCCATTGCCCAAAGACTCCATTCAAGTTTTCCAGTAATGCCCTATATAGAAAACAGATTCAGTCTAGGATTACACAGTCTTTAGTCTCCTTCAATCTGAAACACTTCCTCATTCTTGCCTTGATATTCATGACTTTGGCAGTTTTGAAGATTACAGATTACTCATTTTGTAGGGCATGACTTAATCTGGATTTATCTGAAGTTTCCTCATGATTAGAATAGATTATGAATTTGGGGCCAGAAAATTACAGAAGAGGTTCTGTGTTCTCCTCGTGGCTTCCTGTTGGGTGGCTGGCATACAGGATTAATTTATCCTATTACTGGTGGTACTAACTTTAATCTCTTGATTATGATTATGTCTTCCAGGTTTTTCCAGTGTAAACTATGCATTTTTCTTTTTGTTATTCATAAGTATTTTATGGAGTGCTACTTTAAGATTATGGAAAAATCTAATTTCTCATCCCACATTTACCATCCATATTCTTTTTTCCTGTTTTTTTCCAGCTTTATTGAGGTGTAATTGACAAAAATTGTATATATTTATTGCATGTAACATGATGTTTTCATATACACACACACATACATAACATTCTGAAAAGATTACCCTAGTCAAGCTAATTTACATATCCATCACCTCACAGTTACCCTTTTTTTTGTGGAGAAACATTTAAGATCTACTTTCTTTGCAATTTTGAAGTATATAATACCTTAACTATAGTCACCATGCTGTACAATAAGTGTCCAGAACTTACTCATACCGCCTCACTGAAATTCTCTACCCTTTGACTGACATCTTTCTATGCCCCGTCCACCTAAGCCTCTGGCAACCACTATTGTACTCTCTGCTTCTATAAATTTAACTTTTTCAGAATACACATATGAGTATAAGTGAGATCACGCAGTATTTGTCTTTCTGTGCCTGGCTTATTTTACTTAGCATAATATTCTTCAATTACATCTCTGTTGTCACAAATGACAGGATTTCCTTTCTTTTTAAGGCTAAATAGTATTCCATTATGTATATATACATACTATATATACTATATATATACTATATATATATATACTATGTATATATATATGTATATATACTATATATATATTTATCTGTTGATGGACACTTACATTGATTCCATTTCTTGGCTATCGTAAATAATGCTCAGTGAACATGGAATTGCAGATATCTCTTCAAGATAATGATTTTATTTCCTTTAGATATATATCCAGAAGTGGGATTGCTGGATCATATGTTAGTTCTATTTTTAATTTTTTGACAAACCTCCCTATTATTTTCCATAATGTGTGTACAAATTTACATTCAAACCAATATTGTACCAGGGTTCTCTTTCCCCCATATCCTTGCCAACACATTATATTTTGGCTTTTTGATAATATCCATCCTAACAGATGTGAGATATCTCATTGTGGTTTTGATTTGCATTTCCTGATAATTAGTGATGTTGTATATGTTTATATACCACTTGGCCATTTGTGTATCTTCTTTGGAGAAATGTCTATTCATGTCATTTACTCATTTACTTTTAATTCAGTTATTATTATTATTATTTACTATTGAGTCGTATGAGTCCCTTGTATATTTTGGAGATTAACCCCTTATCACATACATGGTTTGCAAATATTTATTTTCCCATTCTGTAGGTTGCCTTTTCAGTCTGTTGATGGTTTTCTTTGATGTGCAGAAACTTTTTGGTTTGATGTAATTCCATTTGTCTATTTTAGTTTTTGGTGCCTGTGCTATTGGAATAACATTAAAAACATCATTGCAAAGACCACTGTCAAGAAGCTTTTCTCCTATGTTTTC